GGGCGCTCGGCGTGCCGCTGAGCACCGACCTGCCCCTGCGGGCGGGAGCAGGAGCCGTCGTGGGCAGAGGAGGCGAGTCCTCGCTGCGGGTGTTTGTACTCGGTTGGGCTCTCAGCAGTGGTCGCTGCCTGCGACATCCTTCCATTGTTAATTCAGCAGCAGCAGCAGCAGCTTTTCCACGCAGAACTAGTAATTAGCTGAGCTTTTACACCACTCGGCTGCCTGCACGGTCACATTAATTTTTAAACAAATGGTCAGTGAAAGAGGCTACAAATGCAGGGGCCGCATTCTTCGCTGGGGAAGGCAGGTGCTGTTCCTCTGAACATGGTCAAGTGACAGCCATAAACAATGGGGTGGGGGTTGATGTATTATGGGTGAAGCCTGGGCTGGGCATCAGATGTGCTTTTTCGCCCTTGCCAGTGGCTGCGCTTTTTCCCATGTATTAGTTCATTCTTTGTGTTTCTGTCTAGATCCAGAGTGGGCTTCTTACAAACTGGGAATATTCATTTGTTTGAATTGCTCTGGAATCCATCGCAATCTTCCTCAAATCAGCAGGGTCAAATCCCTTCAGCTTGACTTCTGGGAGAACGATCTTATAGAGGTACAGAGGAAAAAGCAGTAATTCACTTACTTTTGTCCACATTTCATCATAACCTCCTCTGCCTCATAGTTCCTGGGTCATCCACTATGGACAGAGGAACAAAGCCACACAGAGCCAAGTTAACTCCATCGGTGCTTTTAGGGGATTTTTTATGGCCCGCTCAATCAAATTACACTGATAGGTGACCGTGTTTCTAGCAGCCTGCAGTGTGGTTTTTTATAGCTCACTGTAATGCCTCACCACGGTTTAGAAGCCCACAGATATTTCCAGATAGTATGTTCTATTCGGAAAGCAACATACTCTTTTAAATATTGGTTCATCCTCTCATCTTTCAGTTGAATTAGTTGTGTTAATAATATAATCACAGTTAATGTCTAGGAGGAGATGAAGGTATAGGGAGATCATAAACAAATATTTTTTTCTCCTAATTTTATTTTATTGTTTTAATCAACAACTGCAATCTTGTCTTCCTTCCCATCTGCTTCAGAACTGTAAATACTGAAAAAGGCTCAGCCTCCTAAGGAGTGCAAACTGTAGGGCCAAAGGGAATTTATAAACCTATGTAGAGAGGCACTGGGAGGGCGAGACTGAGCAAAAAGTGCAGTGCTTCTCTTTGATATAAGTTTCATTTTATGTTGATGACACAGTATTGGTTTTGTAGTTGCCCACCTAACTGTAACTTCTTTTGTATTTCAGTTTATGAAGAAGCACGGGAATCTCTGTGCCAAAGCTAAATATGAGGCAAAAGTCCCTCCCTACTATTACATCCCCCAGTCCTGTGATTGCTTGTAAGTTGATGGTGTATTCACTGCTGCAGACCTTTACTGCTCTGGAACTACGGCTTCCCTCTACAGGTCTCTTTGGTTGGTTGGTGAAAACAGAGTAGAGGCAGACCAGCTTTATTCATGTTTTCCTCTTTCAGGGTTTTAAGACAGCAATGGATTAGAGCTAAATATGAGCGTGAGGAATTTGTTGCCACCCGAGTCTGCCAAGATCCTTGTTCTGCAGGTAAAAGTTAGGATTGTCAGGGAAAAGATGTTAGCTTTAAGGTCAACAGCACAGTGTTCTGCTTGCAGCTTTGAAGATCTTTAAGGTTGGCTTGTCATATTTGAACTGTTGGATGTGCAGGCCTTGCTTTGAGTCTAACTGCAAAGAAGCTCCTGAGAAAAGGCACTTAAACAAGTGCAAGGGTGTATTCAGCTCTTAGAGTTCTCTAGTTCTCCACTGATTTTTCCTATCAGGTGAAAATTCTCAGATGGAAGAGAGCCTTGAAACTCTGATAACATCTGGATAAACAGTGCTGCTATGGTGCTGCCCTTCTCTGACACTTACCTTGTCCCGCTCTGCAGGTAGCCGTGAAGGATTCCTCTGGAAGCGTGGGCGGGAAAGCAGAAAGTTCCAGAAGAGGCGATTTCTCCTGTCAGCAAGGGAAGGGGTCATGAAGTACTACACTAAAGAAGTGAGTTCCTCAGCCAGAGCTGGCTGGAGGTAGCTGGCCCAACATCCATCCTCAGACCCTGCTGTTCACTGCCAAAAACCAACATAAATAGCTTTGTCTCTGATTTCAGCCGGGCCAGCCTGTGTTTGGAGCAGCCCGGATGTTTCCCCATTAACATCCGTGGTACCTTAGGCAGTTGCTCTTTTGGATTTAGCCCTTTTCCTCATCCCTTATCTCAACCCTGCAGCCTCCTTTTGCCTAGTGAATGAAGGGAGTGGATACTGGCAGTTGAATAGCAAGAGGAAGAAGAGATCTGTTAGCAGCTGTTGCCTTTTATATTACCAAAATATTCTCTCATCAACTGCTGCAGCACCGTCCTCAACATATCTCCCTTCTGTGGGAGAGTGTCACTAATTGTTCTCCAACTGTGAGGCTGGAGATAGACCCATCCCTCTCAAATAGCAACCCAGCATTTTTCAAGGAAAGGGAATCACTCTTGGTAAGTGATTTTATGTAGCATGTAATTAGGGCTTTATATTTCAGGTATATCAAATATTCAGATATTTTAGGATGTCTGCTTTCTCTTTGGTAGGGATCTACTTCTCATACAGCTAATTGGTCTTCCATTACGGCTCCTGAGAGCACTTTAATTCAGCGATGCTTTTCATTTTACAGTCCAGAGGTCCAAAAGCCGTTATCTGCATTGAGAATCTGAATGCAATGTTCCAGACAGAGAAAATCCAACATGCTCATGGGCTGCAGATCACATACAACACAGACGGTCAAACAAGGAACCTTTTTGTCTATCATGAAAGTGGAAAGGTGAATACCACGGAGATTTTGCAATAAGCAAGATGCTTAGATGTTGGATCTATATTTTTGAGGAGATACCTTGTTTCTGCAGGATCTGGTTTTACTTGAAGTCACTGTGACTTGTAGAATATAGAAAGTTGCAGAATTTGACACTAATAACTATAACATCTTGCTCCTGTTCTGTTGGGGCATATATTCAACTTCACAGCCTGAATAGTCTTAAGGCTTCAGTGGGCCACGTATGTAAATCTCTGTAAGGTCACTGTCTCATGGTTTTATACTGTTCTGTGGTTATATTCTTTGAAGCCTTCTTGACACGCATAGAAAATAATTGTTCTGCATTACATCCAAGCAAACATTGATAATTTTAAGAAGCATGTCCACGGGTTTTGTTAGATTTCTGTTTCTTCCCTTGCCATAGTTCTCACGTCTTTCCAGGTACAAAGGTTTTTAAACAATCCTGAACTGAATCAACTGAAAAAGCCTGTGTACACAGACCTGGGTGACCGTCCATGCTGAGAATGTCTGGGACTTCCCTGGAGGGGCATTGTTAAATTATTTTGGAGGCTCAATGTTTTTCAGGTGTCTGGAACGAGTCGCTGAGTCTCTCTGCCCCTTGGGGAGAAAGTATGTCTTTGCAAAGAGGTCACAAGGAAGGAGAAGGGCATTTTGGACAGCCAGCACTCTTACTGCTTCTTGTTATTGTTGTCTTTATGTTTGTGTTTGATGTTTTCCCTAGGAGATTGTTGACTGGTTCAATGCCATTCGGGCAGCACGTTACCATTACCTGAGAACAACCTTCCCAACTGTCCCTGAGCCTGAGGTGAGAACTGAACAGGGCTTGAAGCAGCTTATGTAAACATAGCACAGGAAAACATTTTCTCACTTCTTCTGTCAGAGTCAGGTGCTCAAGCAGCAGCATATGGATCTTGGGAATGGACAGAAGAGGTAGAAGGAAAGCCCACACTGGATAACATGCAAAAACATAGTCAATATTTAAGGCCTAAAAGTCTGCATGTGGTCTTTTTGAAGTGTAATCTTTCAAAAATCTTATGTTCCTTTTTATTTCAGACTTCCCTTTACTGAGCAGCAAAAAAAACCCAGACCCCAAAAGCCAAAATTGGTGGTGATGAGCATTGACAGAAACAGAACAGAAAAGCAAGCTTGAATGAAACAGACATTTTTGTGTATGTTTTTGTTCTCCTAGCTCATACCCAGGATCACAAGAAATTACGTCAAAGAAGGATATATGGAGAAAACAGGACCAAAAGTAAGTGCATACTTGGCAGTACACAAACAGGATTATTCCAGATGGAGAATATTTTATAATTTATGATGTTTACTAGTAAACAATTTGTTGAGTGACTATATGCTTCCTGGGTCTATAAAAGACGCTATATTCAAGCCGGTCGTGTTCTTTGGGATCGTGTTTTATTTTGTGTGGAAAATAAGACTGAGAAGAAGAATCCTCCTTGAAGAGTAAGCAAGATGGACTAGCTGGCAGTGGACATGCAAAGTCCTGTTACGCAACACTAAATGGATTGTGTATCTGCTAACTGCAGCTCTAGAACTGCAGCTCCTGCTAGAAGAGAACATCACATGCTGACTCCCCTACTTCCCTGTTTCTCTTAAAGTCAGTAGCATACAAGTTACATCTGCTTATAGCAGCAAAGTATCATTGAGCAAATTCTCCCCATCGAAGCCTATGGTTTGGGTTGGTGTTTTGTGGGAAAGTATTTGGGCCACTACTGCTTGGAACAGGAGAGGGAGATTTCAGGCACTGCTGAAGGAGGGGATAGAGATCTGAAGTCTTGTTTGAACATGCCGCTCCTTGCCTCGCTTTCCTCTGAGTGAACCATGAGCCAAAGTCCCATTAAAAAGTTCAGTGGTGTAATGCTGATACTGAACTGTGGTGGGTGTTTGGCCCAGCTCAGTGCTAGTGTCCCAGTACATCTTCCTGCAGGCACTTGCACAGAGAATACTCACAGCTACAAAAGATTGTGTGGTTTTATCCTGAGGCCTAAATTCTGCTCAAACTGAAGTGAGCCCTAGAAGAGGACCCTTCAGTTCAGCTCGGAGCAATGAATAGCTCAGGGAATGCTCAGATGAGTGTAGTAGATGGAATTAGCACTTTTAAAGAAACCTACCATTGTGCATCCTGCAATGCTAGGGACAACTACCCAAACCAAAATGCTGAAATTGATTGCATACGCTCCTCATTATCGCTACTGGCCCAGGGATGATTCTCTGCAGTATCTTCAATTAATCCTTTTGCTGCAACTTTCTTAATCCTGATAATGTGGTCACTGGTAGAACCAAACTTCCCTGCCTTACCCAAAGGACTGTCATTGAATGGGAATCTCTAGTGTGGACCCAGGGAGAAGGGAGCTGAGGGCTGCACACAGCAATGACTCACCCATTACCAGTTACAGGGGTGAATGAAACTGAACTCAAGCTCTCAGTCTTTTAAGCAGTTCAGGGATCTGCCTTGAATAGGCCAAACTCCCCTTTGGGACTTGGTCTTTAAAGAACTTCTACCATCTCCTTGCAGCAGAAGGAGGCCTTTAAGGTGCGCTGGTTCTGCCTGGATTCTCAAGAAAGGAACCTGATGTACTTTAAAAACCCACTGGTAAGAGGAGTGTTCTTCGCTATTCCACAAGCCCCGTTATGAACCTGGGTGGGGACGAAGGGTCTCTTCTCATCCAGCTCTTCCAGTGGCTGTGCAAGACTGAAGCAGGCTCAGTCTCAAAAGCTCATCTCCCTTGTCAGTGGACCTCTTTGAAGCTGAACTGTTTGGGAACTCTGGCCCTTCCAGTGGCTGTGAGGAAGACTGAAGTCTTAAAAGTAGCTGCTACTGCCTGTAGTGTTTATGCCCACTCTCTCCCAGTGCTATTGCCTTTATGCCTGTAACCTTAGGCAAGATGAGCAATGTTCCTATAACAGAGGCTTGACAGCCCCGGTATCCTGCTTCCTGGCACTGCTCTAGCCACAAGGAGATCCTTTCTCATTCCTTCTGAACACCCACCAACCAGCTCTGTAAGGGTGGGTGCCTACCTCCTTCTTCTGAGAATGCCCATGAGTGTAAAAAAACCTCTAGTGTGTTCCCTGCTGCCTGTCACCAGATCAGTGTCCCCTTCATGCATCCCCAGTTCTTGTTCCATGTCGCAGGACAGAACAGTATCTGCTGGAGCTTGCTATCCACTGGCTAATGGCTGCCTTCTGCTTCCTTCTTTCTAGGATGCATTTGCACAGGGCCAGGTTTTTATTGGAAGGACGGATGAGGGATATGAAGTACGAGCTGGCTTGCCCCAGGAAGTCCGAGTAAAGAAGAGGAAACCAGCGATCACTGTGGTCACACCAGTGAGAGAGTTTCTGTTTATATGTGAGAATGATAGGGAGCAGAGGGAGTGGATAGATGCCTTAAATGGAGTCATTGCCCAGCCTTTGACTGGTTAAGACTAGCACTGGGTTCTGGTGAGCTGCACTTCTTGGGCTCCGTTCAGCATTGCTCTGTGGCCTCTTTCTGTTGGCAAGGATGGTGCTCAAGGCCCTGCAGTAATGGTGGTACAAAGGGCTTCTTCCTTCAACAGGCACGGGAAGGGGGGGCAACAGAGAAATGAGTAAGAGGGAGTGCAGATATTCAGAAATTAGCTGTGCCCCTGCAGAACCTTGCTTGAAGTGCCTTCTCTCTTCCTACCCTTCTCTGCTTTTGAGCAGAGGAGGCCTTCCTAGCCTGACATGGGGATGAATCATCCAGTGTTGTCTTATGGGGGAAAAAACCAACGTCAGTGGAGAAAGTCTGACCCCAGAAGGGCTGGCTTGCATTTCCTTGAGGACTCCTGCAGGTGCTGTTATATCAGCTCCTCCTTTTCTTGCCTTGGACTGGTGTCAGAAGAACTCCCATACATCCTGCAGGATGGACCTGACGATCCAGCCAGTGGCACATATCCTGCCAGGTCATCTGTTACAGGAGCACATAGGGACAGTGGCCAAGAGGCAAAGATACCGTCTCCTATCAGGAAGATGCAGGGTGTCCTCTTGGATAGATCTGAGATACCAGTTCATGCTGGAGTCACTGGATGTCCTTCTCAGGGAGGAGCAGAGTCAGGCAGCTACATTCCACCTGGCTGCAGCTCCTGTCCAGATAGGGACATGGTTGTTTTCAACAGAGAGGGTTTAATGTCTTTTACAGTGTTACGTTTCTGGTACAGTGAAAAATAAAAGTCAACTCTGAATTGCAGAGGATGCTGTTATGAAATCACTGTAATGACAAATACTCCTAGCTCCTTGCTTTCAACAGCTTCTGCTGTTTGACTTTATGAGTGGCAAATCCAACATGTGAAGGCCAAATTTTTCCAAGCAACCCCACATAGTGCCCCAGCAAACACATCATGCGTACATGGTCAACATATGCTGTCTCACTCTCTAAAAAACAGAGCTTGATGAGTCTGAGCATTGAAAGGCAGAAACTAGTTTTAAAAGTGTTATCTTCAGTGATTTGCTTGAAAACACTCAATGAATGAGGACCAGTGCTGGAAGTGGAGAGTGAGTGCCTCCTGATCAAGTACCTCTTACATCCCTTCTGTGCAGGAGTTGATGAAGGTTTGCATTGGCTGATACAGTGCCCTGAGTATTTTCTTGCCTCGAGACCAAGTCTGAGATTTGGTTCTACCAAGCAGCCAGTCATTCAGATATTTAATTCTTCTTTTCAGATAGCCTTAGTTTGCAAATCAAGAGGAAGTCTTGCAGACTAAGTTTCTGGTGAGGCTTCCACCTTTTGCTGACAATTTTGCCAGCCAGTCTGAAATACCCGGAATAGTTCTGCAGAAATGGGGAAGTGCCAATACTTGCAGGGATTAGTGAGATTAGCTCTTCCCCCCCACACCACCCAATAGTGCAGAAGAATTGTTTGAGTTGGATCATCATTCTGCCTGTCTCAGCCAGCTCATCACCATCCAACTCTGAGCAATCTGCAGCAGTTTTCCTTGCTGATAATGCTCCCATGAACTTCCCTGTGTTCCCACTCTCTCTCTCCATGCAACATCATTCACTCTAGCTCACATGCTGGTTCAGCAAATCATTTTAACCACCTAATCCTGCGGCCCTTGAAATCAGTAGCAAAGCACCTTCTGCCTTGTAGGAGGAGCAATGTCAGTCTTCGTTTCCTTTGACATATGTTAGTCGTTACTTGGGGATGAACTGAGTAACTCAGGATGACCTCAGAAAACTTCAGTCCATCCAGCAGCCTAAACTTCACATGGATGGGGCTTTGCAAGCCGCTGTGCTGTGTTGCTTGCTCTCCTGGATGGGTCGGTAGACCAGCTGCGTCAGCAACTCTGATTCGCCTTGTTACCAAACCGGGAAATTCCCTGTGAAAACGAAATCGTGCAGATAACAGCAACTTTTTTTGAGAGTCAATGCAAGTCAAGGCCAGGTCACGGAGAGCTCTGCGTCACGGTTCGTTTCTAGTCAGCCCCAATCCTCGGACCGAGTCGCCAGCAGAGGCACAGCTGGGCCAGTATCGGGCTTTCTGGCTGGCGGGGGGGCTCCCCGGCGGAGCTGCCC